TTAAATAAATATGCATTTAAATAAATAATTGGACAGGATTTGTGGCACTTTTTTGTAAGCCATTTACCTTGCACTTTCTAAATATAATTGGCAAAATGTGTAATTTTAATGGCCAACTACTGTGTGAATATTTTTGCGGTTTGTTTAATTATATTTGCATTTCAACGGAAATTTTCCGACGGCATCTACGCAAATGTCAAATTGTTTTGTGGGCGGGGAAAATGCGCGGTAAATCAGAATTACTGCGGAAATGGCGCTAAAAAGTTCTCTGTTCAAATAGGGTTTTACATTTTCATGCTCTCAACTGTGACAATATAAAGTGGAGTAAACAGAGGGGAAAAAGACAAATAATAGAGCTGGTTAAGGCAAATAGATTTATTATGTTGAGGGCGCCTTGAATGCACCGAATTCCATAGTTTAGGGCATCTGCATCAATCATAATCATCATCGCTCGCTTTTCTTTTGGGTGGCCACATAACCACATACTTGTAAAACGAATGGTCAGCTCCCGAAGGATTCTGGCCGTTTTTCATTTCCACAGTCCTTCCTTTGTGCCCGCTGACAAATGGTGCCTGTAAGTGCAGGGATCCGTTAGTGTATCCTGCAGCCAAGCGGCAGGACCTTGATGCATGCCACTCAGTTCGCTGTGAGGCGCATGACATCGATATGCCTAATGAAGTGATGCATGCACGTCCTTGCATCTCAGCTGGAATCCTCCTGTTTTCGCACTAATCCTACAATGGAGTCGCCCGACCAAAACTCATTCTGAGGCCGCGTAGATATCTGTGTACGCCAATCCTTGCGTAATTCCAATAAGCCAAGGCTCGTTGGAGCGGCACACTGCTACAAAAATTAAACAAATAAATATAATTAGGTTAGCTAGTTAGTGAAATATAAAAGCAACTTACTTGCTTGCATCATTTTAGGGCTTTCCCAAGTCCTTTTATTTGTGAATAGCATTTCCTAGACCCATTGCATTTCGCTCAGTGTGGCTGTGGACATGGTCCAGGATAATGAAATCGACCGCAACATTATTCGCCCGAATGTTGCATGCGGCAGGTGACAGCTGAGGGGGGAGCGCGGATGGAGGATTTCAGCAGGTGTAAGTGTAAGCTTATTGTGGGCGTCGCCGGTGTGAGTGTGTGGCAAAGGGGGCGTGGCTGGGTAGAATTCAAAGCATGTTAAGTGCACAACGGTTTTCGGGTCCTTTGCTCGACCGAGTTAACAATTTAATTGTCATGAAATATTCATTTTGCGGGAGTTGCGGACGGACCTCTAACATGGAAATAGTTTTTGCAAGATATGTTAAACTCTTTCGCAAAACGGGTGGACTCGACTGTATTTCCTACAACTGAAACAATAATGCCATGTAACTAAAATTTCACTTCATTACTGCAATTTAAATGTGTGGAAAACAAGCCGTAAGTTTAATGGTGAGCAAGAAACTCGCCCGGAAACAAAAGGACAAAAACCCAGGAACTTCTCAATCTCCCCTCTGGCTGGCATTACTCCCCATTAACTATTTAAGGCGTGACAATGAAGGGGATACGCCATGTCCATATTTGAATAGCCGAGCAGTCTTTAAAGTGACTTTGGGTCGCCATTTAAAACTTAGGACTGGCATTATCTTCCCCCCTCCCCCCATCTCCCCGCTCACCACCATTGTTGTTGTTGCTGTTTATGGGGGCGTGCCGTGGGCGGGGGCGTGGCGTCTGCTTTGTTTGTCAAGCGATTAAGTTGTAATTATGCGATGGTACGTGTCCAGAGACTTGGAATGAGCCTTGGCATCAGAATGTTCTTTCTTTTGACTTTTATTTGATGGTTGAATTGTCCTTTCGGAAATAAAGGGATGGGATTAAGGGCAGCGGGGCCTAATGAGTTGTCATTAATAGGTGTGGCGCTCGAATTCTATGCCAGATGAACGGAGAAATGCTAATTGCAATGAAAAGATAGTTCTCAAGTGTTCCCCAAGAGCCGAACAGTGCAGAAGGAGTTTAGGTACAAAGAAAGACTTGTTAAATGCCAATTAAAGCGGATGGACGGAGGGAAAATGGAAAATGCCACTGACGACATCCATAAGTCAAAAATGGAGACAGGAACAAAAACTGCAGGACAAGATACATGAGACCGAGCCAAGATAGACAATGAATAGATACAAAAACGAGGAAAGACGAGCTAAAATAGTTAGATCCAAAGTGAATGGTATATATAAAGAATGGTATCCCAACTAACCAAAGTGGCAACTTTATGTTTGGATTCACAGGCTATGCAATTTGAAATTAAAAGTCCCAATTAAAAGTATAAATCAGAAGCATGTCAACAAATTAATTCAAACGGAATTAATTCAAAAGGGTAGGAGCGAAAAATAAAATTCCGCAGATACCTTGCAAATTAATGACAATTAAAAAATCATAGCATATCGTTTGGGTCCCTTGGGGATTGCTGTGAATTACGTAATACGTATTGCATGGCCATCAAATAATGAATTATCTAACCTACAGGCTTGGTGTAAATATTTAATATTTAAATCGACGCTGAAATCCGATTATCAATTATCCAAATTATTCACCTTTACAACGACAAAATGCCGACTAAATAAATACGAGCATTTGCACCTAAATCAAATCAACCTGTCTCCTGTGCTTTAGATTAGATGCTAAATAAATAATCCACCGGCTAATTAACATATGAAAATTTCCCTGAATATAGCTAGTATGATGATAATTTCAATGGCAGACTGAGAGCTGCACGGCATTAAATTTCGAGTAAACAATTTGCGCAATTAAATATGAAATGTAAATATGAAATCAGCTTAATGTTGGCAGATTAGGAAAATTATTTGGGTCTTCGGGAGCGAGTGTTTTTGTCTGCGTCACGTTTGCCATATTAAGATATCGCCCCAGTCGCTTACATATACATATACTCGTACATATTTAATGCGCTAATTTTTCAGCCATAATGCCGCCGAAAGAGAGGGAGCGACTGCGAGCGACTGAGACGGCAACACACGTGCTGTTGGCATTTCCTGCCGGCGCTGCTTCTTCAGGCGGATATCCTTTTGTTGTCGAGCGCCTCCGACTTTTATCGCTGCTAATAGGCCACGTCACCTGCGCGGCAGCGGAAAGCAAAGATGGGCCCGAAAAGCGCGCAAAGGCCAAAAAGACAATAAAAAGCGAGCTGCAGCCTTGTGGCAGCCACAACTCACTCAGCCCCAAGTAAGATAATCCAGGGCACAACAGCGGCAAAGCAGGAGGAGGCATAGTGACTACTCTATTTCTAAATTAAGGAAAATGGGCTACTAATTTAAGATGGAATTTGCCTGTGTTCAATATGCTGTGCGTGTTGAGGATGAGCTTACATATAAACAATCTCCGTGGAAACTGCGAGTTGTGATTGGCATATTTCAAAAGTTTGAAAGTAAGAAAGTGCAAAGGAGGCAGTTAGGTGGTGAGCTTTAGTTTATGGAGCAGCGCATTCGCATAACTGGCAAATTCTCAAAAAACTTGCTAAATCTTTGAAGCCCAACTCGAGCTGGTAGCTGGTAGCTGGTAACTTGTAGCTGGTAACTGGTAGCTGGAAGCTGGAAACTGGGAACGGGCGATTATTTCAGGTATTTCTGGGAATTTTCTCAACACTCAACTATTTAAAGCTGCGGAGATGCTCGTATATTGCCCCCACATAATTAGTAGCGCTTAAAGTTTGGAGCCTCGTTCCTGTTTTTGTTGCCTTTTTAGTGGGTGCTCATTCGCCGAGAGGATGAGGCTGTTTGGCTTATATACTCGTATATATATTTATAGGTCATAGGTCACGGGTAAGTGACTTGTTATCCTGTTTCTGCGGTGAGTGGTTGTAATTTGAGTTTACCTAACTGATTAAAAATGCGCATTAATGCGTTGCCGCATTCTATTTCTATGCAGTCCTTTGATTAAGTTGCTCAAGTGCAGCGAATTTCGAAAAGGTGCCTATGCAGCTGATGTAATGTTATTATATATATATTATTATTATATATTATTATTATTAGTTAAATTTAATTTATATAAAATAAACATATCATTTATGTCCATGTTTATGAATGCGATCTTATTATTATGTACATCAGCTGTTCAACTCATCAAAACAAATCTTTAAGAGAAGAGCACCATTTTCAAAAAAGTACACAAAATAAGAGAAAATTTGCTCTTTATGTCTTAGAAAACGCGCAATAACAGTATGTTCGTTAACAGAGCGAGAGCAACACTGTTAATGGCTGTTAAAATTCCCTTTTGCCGCGAAATTGTTTTAATTTAAATGTTAATAACAAGTAACTAAAAGTATATACAGGCTAAGAGGTTGCATTGATAACAATCAGTAGAATGAAAAACTTAGTTCTGTTCTGTAAGTGTCAAAATAGAGATATTTTCCGAAATTTCGTATATATTTTCCGAATATTTTTTGTATTTGCTAGAAATTAGTTATTAATAACAGATTATAAGCAATTTTAGATCATTTTTAATGATTTTGGCAGCTTGCAATCAGCATTAATAATTATTTATTTAGTAGATTCATTATTACTTTATTTTTTAAAAATTCTGTTGATTAGTTGAAACACATTTCTTGGTAATAATTAAATACGAGACTTAACAATTGCTGATGTAACCAAACAGTTTTTTTGCAATGACATACGTAGTTTGTGTGCACTCTGCACTCTAACCAAAATACTACCACTTTGCTAATTTTGTTAGCTAATTGGAAGCCAATAAATTGGCCTGCATGTCTGGCCAGTGAAGCAAGGCAAATACGGAGTTTAGCAAGGGTTTAATGCACCCCCAAAAAAGCCGCACAAATAACTAACTAAGTATTAACTTGGCATGCAAGCAATGCCAGTTAGCCAAGTTAGCAGCGGGTTAAAAGCCGGCTAACACTCGAAAAGCCGAAGTTGCGCTGCTGCGTCGCTGCTTTCGCTTCGCGCGGCGTCGCTCGGCGTCGCTGTTAAGCGCTAACATAAGCTGGAGCTCGATTTCAGAGCTCCGATTCTTGGCTTTCAGTCACCTGTTAAGGCCCAAGCGCAACGAACGTCGACGGAGTTTTTCCGGGAAATCGCCAGAGGAAAATCACGAGAGTGCGTGTGTGTGTGATCTTATGTGTTGCTTGTGTTTGTGTTGATTTCTGCATGCTTTTCCGCTTATCATTTGCGAGCACTTGCGAGCATGCATTCTATGCCCCACCAACAAAAAGAAAACACATCATTCCTGTTCGAGAAACCAGTTTTGTATTATTTTGGCTTTGATTGGCGTCATCGGCGACGGCGATGGCGACGTCGACGGCGAACAACGGTTTCCAGCTGGTCCAGAATTCCTGAACGCGCGCCGTGACGTCGCCCCGCGTGGATGTGGATTTGGCCAAGAAGCGACATGGCCAAGAAGCGACTTGGCCAAGTGGCTCGCCTCTATCAATGGAGCTTTTCATTTGGTTTACCGTTAGGCGACGGTTGTCTAGCTGCTTGTTGTTCTCGTTGTTGCTGCTCTCGAGTGGGCAGCGCCAGCAGAGCGTGCACCATCGGGGCTTAGTTTAAGTTTAGAAAGCCGGAGAACCCGAGCCCGTGGCATGGCACCTCTCTCCATCTCTCCATCTCTCCATCTTTGGATCCCAAGTAAATCGAGAAAAGCGGGGGGGGGGGGGAGGAAAGCAAACCAGTAAGGCGGCAAGAAGGCTTAATTAAATTTAAGGCACACATATATGGCCAGGGCCAGACTTCAGAGATTGACCGACTTCTGCTGGCAACAAAAGTGTGTGAAAGCCGTTAATTGATTTGCTTATTTGCTGCTTAAATTGTTGTGCAAAGTTGTTTAAATACTTCTGGCCGAAACGTGAATAAATCGCAATAACTTTGGCGGCTTGTGTGCGTATAATTATGCGACAACTCGTAATCAATTATCCTCGTAATTGAATCTAAATTGGAAAAATAATTTGGAGTGTGGAAACAGTAAAAACTTTCCAAGAACAGAACATTATTTTCGGAATTATATTAAAAAATGGGTGACATTTATTCATGTTTTCAATATCAATTTAGCTTGCAGTGAAATATAATATATATAATAAATTTAGCTTTCCATATGAACTTAAATAAACGAGGTCGCTTTGCATTTACAATTTTCGCCATGACAAAGGAATTTCCTTTGATTAGATAAATGCGCGCCACAGTAAAATAATTGGGTTCAGAAATAAAAGGCCAAAAAACTGGGCCGGAAATTACAAAGATTTTCGAATGCAATCATAATTATTACTCGTGGCATTCCAGCCGAATTTTCATTCTTTGGGAAAACCACACGAAAACATTCCAACGGCAAACAGGTTGCCACAAAGCCGAGAGCAGCAACAACATGGCCAAGAGGGAAAATCAAACACGTGCACAGAACGGAAAAGGTTAACAACACAACAAAAGTAAAAACAGCAAACAGCAGCGGTAACAACATTACGTTTTCCTTATTTTTTCTTTTTATTTTGACCAAACACAGAGATATAAACCAAATTTTAAAACCGCGCGCTAACTGAAAAAGAGATTCGAATATAAAACGGGGGAAAATAAAAACGGATATAAAGGAATTTCAAGCGATTGGCGTTTTGTCAACCAGTAAAGGGCCAAGTGACGAGCAAAAAAAAACCAAAAAAACGAAAAAAATCGAGGGAGTGGCGCACAAGTGGCTGCAACAAAGCCCGCGACCTCTGACACCCCAAAAACAACAAAATATAAGAATATATCTACCTTTTGGCCGGAAAACGCTTGTTTCAGCACGCGAGCAAGGGAGACGGGACGACTGCGAGGGAGGGAGACAGGGACAGGGACAGGAACAGCAGCAACAAAAACAACAAAACAAACAGGTGAGAAGGGGACTTGCATGAATGAATGAATGAGTGAATGAATGCCCGGCTGAGGGAATGAGGAATTGCGGGGGAGCGCGAGTATGGCGAAGTGAATGAATAAAAGCCACAACTGAAAAACGAATGCCAGTACAGTGATACCTCCGAGAACACCAATCCTATATTATTTATGTTATGAAAATCGAATGAATCTTGTAGGTTTGAGTGCTTTAAAGATATGTTACTATATATATCCACTTATTACTTACATAGCTGACATAGCTCTTAAGATTTTACTATCCAAAACTATACTACTTTCTTTTGTTGTAAGAAACCGAAATCAACTACGCAGCCCTACCTCTTTTAGCCACAAATTCCACTTTGCGAGTGCCCACTGTTTTTTAGTGCCGGCTGCGATACACTGATTGAAACTGATAAAGAATAATAAAAAAGGCTTTCCTCATGCGCGAGGATTTTCCCAAACAATTCTTTCCCGCCGCGGCGGTTTTTCGTTTCATTTTGGAGGGCAGAGAAGCCTGCTCAATAAGCAATTAATATGCACAAGTGTCTGCCCGGCGAGTTTCCACCAAAATCTCCGAGAGGAAATGGGCCCGAGACTCGACTGTGTGAAAATGGGGAAAAGAAAGAAAAGCCGAGCCCAGCGTGGCACATTGTTTCGATTTCCACGCAGTGTTAAGAGCTTAATTTAATTCCGAAAAGGTTTTTCCACTTGATGAAAATTGAGTTTGGCTTGGTTTTGCCGAGGAGAAAATCTTGTTAAAAAATACAAGACTGCCCTCTGTTCCAATAATTAAATATATATACTATATATATTCCGTAATTTTATTAGTTCGTGTGTATCAAATTAAAAAGCATTTCTGCTCCAATTTGGAGCACATGGCTTACACGAATCGAAGTGATCCGTGCGCTACCTTTTACCATTCATTTCGATGCAAATCAGGTTCTATTATCTCAATTGAAAGTTCCTTTGAGTAATTTAAGAGTGAATTTGATTCTCTCGCCAGAGACTTCCATTTTCCGCTAATATTTCTCCATTCTTCAGATTACCCCAGTCACGATTGCAACTTTAATCTATGGCAATTTATATTTGCTTTTGTTGGTACTAAGCAAATTCATTCTGAAGCCACACACACAGAACTATTTGGGCCAAAAGGGACGTAGTCGGTGCATTTTGGGAGGGGGTTTTCCCAGAATCAAGCATAAAACTATGAAATAAATCAGAATATGCACAGCAGTGATTTATCATTATTGGGTTCTTGCGAATGCAATTTGGCCCCCGTTTTCCCCGAGCACCTGACCTTGGTGGAAACTCTGCGTGAAGTTGCAAAGTAAAAATAAGCAGGAAAAGTTGCAAAAAGCTTCGGAAGGAATGCCGAAAATACGCAAAACAAAGGAACAACGAGTTGCCAAAAAGAAAAACACTGCCTCAGAAGTACAACGTATTGTTGTAGTCAACTCGATTCCGGCGAGACTCTTGTGAAATATCGCACTTTGCTTATAGAAATGGTTATCTACGCTCGAAAAGAAATTCAGGAAAAGTCCGTGTAAACAAAAACACAAACAGCGGCAACAAAACGCATGGCAAACAAACTCGCCCAGACAAAAGTAATGTGAAACACAATAAAAGTGTCTAACTGTTGGAAGAAATGAAAGTCAAATGCTGGTGCGTTTCCAAGAAGGGGGCTAATATATATATGTATATATATCTATTTATATACCATATATTGAAGAGAGGTAAGACCCCCATTTCCGCTCACTTCTCACAGCATCTTCGGCGGCTTTATTAGCGGCAATACAGCTTGTATTCTCTTTCGTTGATCTTGATCGTGATCTCGAAAACATTTAGAAAATGTGTTAGAGCCATGGCCAAGAATTCGAGACTGGTGTCTGGGTTTTGAGAAGAAAGCGTGCAAATTATGGTTTCTACGAAACTGGGTGCCTGCCTGATGAAGTCGGCCTAACACCACCTGTTCCATCATTTTCCGCAGGTACAGTGGTTGATATAGCAATTAATGCTTGAGTTCAGTTTTGATTGCTCGGTAATTATTTCATTTCTTTAAAAAGCCTATAGAGCACTTATTTAAGTTTGGTTTGGATGGTTGCGGGGAAAACCGCCATTTGCAACCTTTGAAACCTAATCTATAATTTCATGTTTTAAATGCAAGCCAGTGCTTGATGATTCAAGAACCATAGTTTTTTGATAATAACTCATTTACGTCAAGAATGGATCCCATGACAGCATGCTGCTTATGTACTGTTGAGTCAGTAGTAATTTATAGTGGTAACCTAGCAATATAATAGCTTTCTTTATTTTCTTTGAGCACTTTAATTTCCATCAATCCATCGTATTGCTCCCCAGCACTCTAAGAACCCAACAATCCACCTATCTGCGAGTCAAGCTGTTTCCCCCAAAAGTCGTAAGCCATTTCCTTTGGCCAAGTCGGTGGTTTTGGCCATCAGAGCCGCACAACCACTTCCTCGCATTCTTCCCACTGTCAGAGGGGGGACTTCCCTAGCAGATAATTGAATTATGATCGAGGAGTGGGGCTTACTGGGCTAATGAACACAGGCTGAAGGGTAGTCGAGTGAGCCAAGAAGACAGGGCCCACATTGAGGTGATAATGATCCCAGTGTTCATTATGATTATGATGACTATGCTGCCACTCAGAGGCGAATGGAAAATGTTTGAGAGAGATGGGCGTAGAGAAGAAAATAGGAACGAGTCGAGTCGCGGCAATGAACTCGAAAGAAGCAATGCAGACAAACTAACAAAAAGATGTGGTGGAAGAGGCATGCATAACTAAGTTACTGCCACAAACAGGGAAAGAGACGGCAAGCGGCTGAGTGAAAGAGACAGCGGCTGGGCGAGCGACTGAGATGGCAGGACACGCAGCATGCAGTTGCAGTTGTCAGTGCATCATTATCCAGCTGAGATTTTTGTTGGCCTATTAGAAGGATGGCCAGTGGCAAAAACTTTTCGAGTCTGCAGCTGCATAATAATGCAGGCCTACACTGGGGAAATTTATAATAACAATTAAATAATAATAATAATAAATTAATTAAACGGCTGAATGCCAGCAGAACTGGTTTCCTTGTTTAGGAGAAGCCATCTCGAATCCTCAGCTTCTTTTATATAAGACTCACTTTAAAGATGGTAAGATTACTATAAATTTTCCCTCTGAGTGCCTTTAAGATCCATCGCCGTCATCTGTTTTTGACTAAAATGTAGTTGGCAGGAGGAAAAAGCGGAGTGCTATATAAAGAGGGAGGTCATTCATCCAGTGTTTATCACGTTATGCTATGCCTAACCCCCACCCCCAGAGTTTATTAACATATTATTCTTTCCCTTTCCAACCACCTGTTTTTTTTTTTTTGTTACCAAGTGTGGCTTTGGCCTCAGTTGTTGTGTATTTGTGTGTATTTCTAGTTTTTGTTGTTGGTTCTGTGCTATCTACCTTTTTCTGAGACTGTCTAGCGATTCAGTTTTTTTTCAGATTTTAGGCAATTATTTAAAGAACCTATCTTAGTTTAGATCCCAGGGATTTTAATGTTGTCTTTGGTACTTTGTTATAATCGTTCTTGGAATCTTCGAACCGAAGAAAGACTTTCCCATGTATGAATAGTTTTCAAGGGTATTCCCCTGGCTGTTCCAGCAGTTTTCCTCCTTCATGCTGCGGCTTTTTTCGTGCCCCCATTTCCTTAGCTGCTCCCACCATTCGGTAGCGGTTTGAAAAGTGGAAAAGTGGCAGGAGAGGTGGAAGCTGTCGGGAAAAGACCCCAACTTGGGTCCAGAATATCCCCTGACCACTGTCGTTGCACGCTTCTTTTACAGCTGCCGGTGACGCCGGCTTTTATGCATGCCTGTTTTTCCTGCCTTTTCGTATTATTTTTGCCTTTTTTTGGCCTACGGTTTTGGCCAACAGGAAATAGCCGACATTAGACTGGGCTGGCACGTGTTTATGTTGCTTTGCTGTTATTTTATGCTCCACGCTGGGGCAGGAAATGCGACAGAAAAATGCATTTTCAGTTGCCAGGGAATTTTCGCTCTTTCATTCGGGAAAAACTGTTGGCCGTTTCGCATCTGCTTTTGCTCCTAGTTCCCTCAATGCCTTTCTTTTTTATGTTGCACCCAGGGTTTTTTAAGCGATCTGTGTTTGCGCTGCTTTAGATTTCAGTTCCATTTCGGTTTAATCCCGTGCAGAAATACATCTTTTATATGTGAACAGAACCGGAGGAAATTACGTTTTTATGCCTGAACTATAAAGCCCAAACAAACGGACGATTTAACTTATTTTTTTATTTTTCGAGCGAAATTGAAACTTTTATGTCCACTGCCACTATAAACCCGATCTAAGCGGTAATTGTTCCCAAATAAATCTTGAATGCATGTGAATAGTCTACTAAAATGCATTGCAGTCTAATACGCAATGCATTTTTATATGTGCGCATATGTATTGAGTATTTCACATCTGAAGGAAAGAGCTTACAACAATGTTTTATTGGGTGGAGTAACTACAACTAAATCGTTTTCAGTGATTAGACTTCTTGTCTTCCTAATGGCTTTTCCTTTATGAAATTGTGTCCAATATGCCAGTTTTAACCATATTTCAAACCACTACTCGACTCATTAAAAGAAAAGTCCGTCGCCGGGGGCGCCCTCAAAAGTTACTCTTCCCGAAAAAGTGCAGCTGCATAGTCCATTTATCAGCCCATCCATCTAGAATGCCACAGGGCGTTTTCCTTCATCGAGGTGAAGAACCGAGACGTGGAAACAAGAAGAGCCAAATGAAAAACTTTGTAGCTTTGTTATCTGGTATCTGCATTTGCCTTCTGGTTTCGAGCCACACTGTTTGTATTGTGGCTCATTTGCATTATTTTAATTCATTCCATTCGGGTAATCCCCAAAAGAAACTAAATAAAAGTTCAAATTGATGTTCTGTATCAATAGACCAGAATGAAAATGAAAATGGTGATGGGGAAATTGTTACGGTTCTGGGAAG